TAGATGCTGTCAAGTCAATTATCAGTGACCCCAGAAATGGTAGATCTTGTTGAGGGCCTTCCCCTATTTTTCTGATCCTCTATTTTTCCAATATTATATAGTAGATAAGTTTATTGAATAAACATGAAATTTCTTTATTGTTTGGAAAGAATATCCTAATTTTCAGACGATACCTGTGTTCAATTGAGATTCTGATATCTGCCGTTTCTCTTTGGAGTGAGTCAACGTCAAATGTGCACGTGGCTCTTTATAAGACCAGAAGCACTACCTCATAGGGCTACGAAGGTCTACAATAAATATGAATAAAAGTATAAACATTCTCAAACACGTGAAGGGATATCACTGTAAACAAAGGCGAGTGACTGCACAGATAGAGCATGCCTGGGGTTCTCGAGAGTCAGACCCTGAGATGAAAATTCAGGTTCTCATTATATGAAGAACATGCTCCAGATGAGACCAAGCAGAGCTGGAGGGGTGGGAGAGAGAAGGCGGGCACACCAGGAGGAGGTCTCAGGACAAGGGATCGTGGGAGAGAGGGGAGCTTATAGAGACCAGGTGCTGATGCTTTAAGGTTTCTGTTTTGTTTTTCTAGGTACAAAAGTGGATTTTTTTCCCTTCTGAATGAGAAAATAAATCACCACAAACTGTTAAAAGCTGACAAAATGCAAGGAGAGAAACACATAAATCAATCTTTAATAATTCACTGCTTAAAACATTTCTGCAATACTAATTTTCCTACTGTTGGGGTGTTGATTTGCAGACATTTCTATATAAAAAACAATTCAGTGTTATTATTTTATAGAGGAAATGAGAAATATAATTTAGTTTTCCAGTTTGGCTAGTATATAGACTATGTTGCATGAGATAATTTGTTACACAGACACATTCAGTGTCAGTAATACTATCCTACAAACTGGTAGGTTTTATTTTGCCCTGTTTCTATGAAGGGAAAAGAAACCCTCATTATGTGGCATGTTTATAAGCACATATACTAACTAAATTAAGTATATTCCTGACAGGAGAAAAACTTTTTTTTTTACTTCATTTTTTTGACTAGACATTAAAGATGACATTTTCTGCTCAGAATTCATTATTTTCTTTAGTCAGAAGACTCCACCAAGCAGCTCTATTCTGTAACACTTGGGTTCATCCCAGAAAGGAGTTGATAGAGACAGGTGTTGACACCTGGGTAGTGAAGGAACTATGGCCGAGTTCAGCTCTTAATTTTGCCCAGTCAAGGGTAACATTACATTACAAAACAAGGAAAAATAGAAGAATGACAGATGCTAAGAGCAGAAAGTAGATCTAGAAAAGTGGTAGAAGGAGTAAGAAAAAAGTTGATAAGACATAGACGATGAACACAGAGAAAATACATCAGCAACAGGGCATGAGGAAGGTCTAAGAGGTGACTTACAGTTCTTAACATCTCTTCTGTAGCTCAGTGGGCATATCTAATGACCTTCGTGAATATCTTTCTAGACGTTCATGCTGCAGGTTGTCAAATGGACTCCATCATACCACTGACCACCTTCAAAAACAGAGGTTAAGGAAAGCACCAAGTTAGTCCTGATGGTCACCAACAAGGACACCCCACAAACAAGGGGAACCAGATTAGGCATGGCCGGGAGCTCGGGGTTCCAGAAGAAATCTCATTGGCAGAAGGTCCAAGGTGTTCCACATTCATGGATGCGCATTAAGGGAGAAGGGAACACGGAGAAGACAAAGACAAAGGCAGGGGAAATGATAACAGGCCTGGTGCCACAGAAAAACAAGTGTTACTTCCTGCAAACCTCTGTCCCTCAAGGTCTTTGATCATAAAATCATAAATGATCTTGCCCCATTTCTCATAAAGTTATATGATGCTTTGACACCTGCAGTTGATTATTGCTCATAATCATTATAGAGAGAAGATGCCACTGCCAAGGGGTCAGCACAGTATGTGCATATGTCCACTAACAAAAATGTCATGTTATGAACCAGGTACGGCATCAAGTATGCATCACCAGTTCTGTGAGTACAGGCCTCTGGGCTACCTCAGTGGATGGAATTCCTGGTGGAGGCACTTTATGTCTAGGGTCTGGAGGGGTCCACATTTCAGGGATCTTTGTCAAGAGATCAAAGGACAAAAAGCTTCCCAGAGGTTAACATGGTCCAAGTGATAAAATCTTCACTAGTGACCTCAGTGTCATTGGGCTGTCCACACAGCATCACTAGCTTAACTAACTGAAAGATCAGATCTCAGTGAATTTGACCATCTCTGAGGGTGCACTGAAAGAATGAAATGGGACTGTGGAGACACAGTGAGGGGAGGAGATCACACTGCTATTATTTCTCTAAAGGCTCTTAGATACCAAACCATTTCTCATTAACTTGATCAGAGCAAAGCCAACACAGGGTAGGGGGGGCATGTGTGTGAGGAGGTGACCGACCATCAGGAGGCAGAGATGGGTCAACTCTGGTGATGCTGAACTCAGGGAGGTGCACACTGCCACCTGACCACACTGCCAACCACGCTTGCCCACACTATACAGTCCAGAGATGGTCAATGGTGAGTTCAGGTCCAGGTTAGGCTGGTGAGTAATGGCCATAGTTCTGGGACTTCCACCAGTTACTCTCTGACTCATAAGCTGGCCCATTTTTATTTACATCACATTTTTCTTTCATTCTAACCTAACAGAGGTATGAAACAATGCATGGCCATTGTGCAAACAGAGGTATGAAACAATACATGGCTAAAAATTAGGTCAGGGTTGTATCCTTTCTCTATACCTATTTAATTTGTATGCTGAAACTATTCAAGAAGCTGGACTCTATGAAAAAGAATGGCATCAGAATTGGAGGAAAATTCATTGATAATATTTGTATGCACATGACACAACCTTGCTTGTAGAAAGCTATGAAGAACTTGAAGTACTTGCTGCAGAAGATCAAAGATTGCAGCCTTCATTATGGATTGCATCTCAACATCAAAAAAGCAAAAATTCCAGCCACTGACTGGACCACTAGGCATAACAATAGAGAAAAGATTGAGACTATCAACAACTCCATCTTACTTGTATCGAAAATCAATACACTCAGCACTAGCAGTAAGGAGAGCAGATGTATTGCACTGGGAAAGTCTGCAGTCAGGAACCTCTCCAAATTATTGAAGAGCAATGATGTTAGTTTGAGGACTAAGGTGCACCTGATTCACATTATGGTCTTTTCCGTCATTTGCTATGCATCTGAGAGCCGTACAATGACTAAGGGTGACAGAAGAATGTATGCCTTTGAATTGTGGTGTTCGAGAAGAGTGCTGAATACTCCATGGATTGGAAAAGAATAAACAAATGTGTCTTGAAAAAGATCCAGCCAGAGTGTTCCTTGGAGGCAAAGATGATAACGCTTTGGGCCTGTCATACATATTTTGGGCATGTTGCTAGGAGAGGAACATCATGCTTGAAAAGGTGGGGATGACAAAAGGAAGGACGGCTCTCAACCCGGTGGAATGACAGGGTGACTACAGCAGTGGGCTCAAGAGTGTTCGAGATGGTGAGGATGGCACAGGACATGACAGGGTTCAGAGCTGTTGCTCAAAGTCATACTGGGCTCCATCGCACCTAACAAACACAACAACAAAACCCAGAACTCTCTACTATGATCATTTTCAGGACAGGTTAAGATATCACCTTGAGAGTAATGGGGCAGATCCTGTTGCTAAGCAGCTGTTTTAACGCATGGAAGACAAGCTGGAAGGTGAATGGTCCCTACTTGGGAGAAGCCACGCCCTCTTCTTGCTCAGCCAATGGCTGCGGGCAGAGGCCCAGGCACTTTCTTCAGCCAAGGAGAAACCAGCGTCTTCGAAAAGCCACGCCCACCTGTTCCTGGATTGGCTAAATTACTAATCTGCATAGCTCCACCCACAAACCCTTGCCTAACTAGGTGACGGGCCAGCCCCTTTGCAGGTGTTCTCAATCTAGTTTTGCAATCTCGCATCCTTTTGCCCCAGGAACCTTAGAACTCTGCCCAGCTGACTGCAAAGCCCACCACTACATTCTTTTTCTGAGACCAGCCTCGTAATTTAGGATCCTAATCTCATAAATTGGTCAGGCTGCGCGCAACAGTTTAGAAGCGGCGACTGCTGGTCACGCCTTCCATCTCTGTTCACTCTCCTGCACGCATCACCCCAGACACCCGCCCTAACAGACTCACGCGACGAAAGCACGTTATTGGGAGGGCACCTGTATCAATAAGCTTGGTTGGCGAACGAGTCAACTTTAAAAAGAGTCTCTTTTAGAGCCTGTCAGAATGAATAAAAAGTTCTTTTTTTAGAGCCGGGCAAAATGCCAGTCAAGCGATAGGGGCGGTCGCAAACAAAACCAAACCCATAATATTGATTGGGCCAGAAAAGAAGAGGTCCCACCCCCTCTAGCCCACGATTGGCTGAGCGCTTCGCTCACATCCGGGAAGGACGCGAAGCCGGCCGGTTTACCTCAGGTAGCCGCTCAAGGCGGAAACGTGGGACGCAGGGCGGAGCGGGCGCCTGGGTTCCCTGCCGGAGCTGCCGTGACTCCCGGAGTGACGCGCGCCATCTCAACGATGAGGAGGCCCGGGTGGGCGGTGGGACCGGCGGGGTTGGGGGCTGCGGGCGGTGAATATAGAGCAACAACCGGAAGGCTCCTGAGAATGACGTCACGCCCGGAAGTGTGGCAAGCTCCTGCCACACCCGGAAGTGTCATGGCTCCGCTGCTGCGGGAAATAATGGGTTTCCGGTCGTTTCGCGATAAGGGTTTAAAGACCTGGTTTTAGGGATCTTTTTTCCCTTGAACTCTAGTGCAACCTCCCTTTTCCTGGAAGTGGATCAAGTGTTACTGTTTAGGCTTTTGGGCTGCTTGTTGTTCGAAGCCGATCGGCAAGACGGGCACTAGGACTGCGTGCGAGGAGCGGGACCCTGTTAAAGGCTTTTAAGAAGTTTCCTTTGCCTCCTGTCATCCCACCCCCTGGGTCGTCACCTCTCCAGGGATGTGCACATGGACGCCGGAGGAGACAGTGCTGCTCCAGCCCCGGGGGACGCAGAGGACGTGGAGGCCACGCGGTTCTCCGATGAGGACTCCGGGGGAAGTGGAGACCTTCCCAGTGACGCACCGGATCCCGGAGATGGAGGCCTGGAGCAAACAGGTATGGCCTCTCCTCTCTGTGCACTGGGAGGGAATCCCTAGGGCGTGTCACTGTAATTGGGTTAGCAGGACACCATTGTAGACTCAGGAAAAGAAATGAAAAGGGAGCCGATTGGGTGTTCAGTGGTTGGGGTTAATTGATTTTTATGGACAGTGAGGGAGACATCAGTGAATGCCACTGAGAATGTGAGGTCATGGGAATTTTATGGAGAAATTATTAGATGTAAACACATCGTGTTGTTCTTTGCTGTCAAAGAACCAGCTCACAGCTGACTCTTCAGTGGGTTTTCAGAGGCTTAAATCGCACAAGAGGAGATGGCTCATCCTTGTCCCGCAGAGCTGCTCGTGGATTCAAACTGTGTGTTTTGGGGGTTGGCATCGCACTTCCTTACCACCAGGCCAGCAGAGCTTTATGCATGATTATTGTTGTCATTGAAGCATTGGTGATCAGTGATCGTCAGCTGAGATAAATGGGATGGAAGGTGGGGCAGTGGAGGAGGTCACTGAATTGTGGGTTTCCAAGGGGCCAGTCCTTGGAAAAAGAGATCATTCTGTGAAAGGCAGAGAGGATCAGAGAAAGAAAAGCATGATGTTCCTCTCCTGGACGATGGACGGATACAGAGACTGTGCTAAGGAACTTGTGTATATGACGGATGATAGGAGGATGGCACAGGATAGGGATGTCTTGGTCATAGGCGTTGCTGTGAGTCGTAGTTGACTCAGTGGCACGTGACACCCAATGCTGTGGATGGCAGTGGAGGTTGTTAAAATCACGGTGGTCATGTAGCAGCAGCAGAATGCCCTGTCGGCGTGTGTGTTCCTGTTCCTGGCTGCTCTCGTGCTGACTCCAGCTCGTGAACAATCCTGTGTACAACAGACGGGAACTCTCCCCGATCCTTTGCTGTCCTCACCCCTCTGCTGTGCTTACTGAAGCCACTGTTGCAGTCCCTGTGTCCGTCCATCTCTGAGGGTCATCCTTTGTCCCACTTGTTCTCTGCTCTGCCAGGCAGAGTTGATATTCTTTTGACAACATGCCCAAAGTGTGTGAGATGCAGCTCACCATCCTGTTGCTCTCACTGTAGCTGCATTCTCCTCCAAGAAATAAGAGTATTAGTGGGAATTAGTTACAGTCATTAAAAGGGGTATAAACTGTCCTGGAGTGAAAAGCAATGAGAAAATGGGATTTCTTGGGCTTTAGGGCAATCATTGGAATATAAGTTATTGATGGACACCATTGAGGGGAGTTTGAGTGGTTACTGGGGGAGTTAGGGAGACACTTGAAAGTCTTTGCCCACATGAAAGAGCTAATGGGAAACAAGAGACTATTTGATGGGTCCTTGGCAACGTGAGTTTGGGGAAGTCCACAGACAGATGATTCACCAGCGGCTCCCTTTCAGGATCTGAGACCAGCGACCCACCACCCAGCCTGCTGTCATCACCGTCCCAGTCAGAGGCCACACCAGGCACCTCTGAGCTCTGGAGCCCCTCCACCACGGGGGCTCCCATGGGTGGGCCCGAGAGTGGCCCCGAGAGCCAGGGCGGGGATCCCAGTGACGAGGACTGGCGCAGCCAGAGGAAGCACGTGTTTGTGCTGAGCGAGGCCGGCAAGCCCATCTACTCACGCTACGGGAGCGTGGAGGCGCTGTCGGCCACCATGGGGGTGATGACAGCCCTCGTGTCCTTTGTGCAGAGTGCAGGCGACGCCATCAGAGCCATCTATGCCGGTGAGCATGGGGGTGGCACATGGGGGGAGTGAATGTGGGCTGGCGGGCTGGCTGGCTGGCTGGAAGTCCAAACAGCTGTGGGTAAATCCACAATCAGGGTTGATACTGTGAGTCCTGGTGGGTCACATGGTGTGCTTGGCCAGTTGGGGTTTAGTTTCCACCTGGGGTGCATCTGGCTTGCTGGCCGGTTGGGTTCTGAGTGACTGGCTGGATGGTGCCTTGTGGCCTGAGAGGGTCACCGAGAACTGGTAGGCTTGGCTTGTGTGGCTGAGCTCAGAGACTATGCCAGTCCTTGGTGCATCTCCTTTGCCTCTGAACCCAGTGTTCAATTCCCTGATCCCCAAGAACCCCCTCCCCAACGCGTCCCTCACTTCTCAGCCCAGGTGCCTGCAGGGTGACTGTGTCTGGTGGGGAGGGGGACTGATCCCTGTCCACCTCTTTGCCCTGTCCCTTCTCCCTCCAGAGGACCACAAGCTTGTGTTCCTGCAACAAGGCCCACTGCTGCTGGTGGCCGTGTCCCGGACCCCACAGTCCGCAGCTCAGCTCCGGGGGGAGCTGCTGGCCGTGCACGCCCAGATCGTCAGCACGCTGACTCGTGCCAGCGTGGCCCGCATCTTCGCACACAAGCAGAACTACGACCTCCGCCGCCTGCTGGCCGGCTCAGAGCGCACGCTGGACCGGCTCCTGGACAGCGTGGAGCGGGACCCGGGTGTGCTGCTCCTGGGCGCTGTGCGCTGCGTGCCCCTTGCGCGCCCACTGCGGGAAGCCCTGGGCGCACTGCTGCGCCGCTGCACAGCCCCTGGCCTGGCACTGTCAGTGCTGGCCGTCGGCGGGCGGCTGATCACAGCGGCCCAGGAACGGACTGTGCTGGCTGAGTGCCGGCTGGACCCTGCTGACCTTCAGCTACTGCTCGACTGGGTGGGCGCCCCAGCCTTTGCAGCGGGCGAGGCCTGGGCACCCGTGTGCCTGCCCCGCTTCAACCCCGATGGTTTCTTCTACGCCTACGTGGCCCGCCTGGATGCCATGCCTGTCTGCCTGCTGTTACTGGGCACCGACCGGGAGGCCTTCCACGCCATGGCCGCCTGCCGACGCCTGGTCGAAGATGGCATGCGTGCCCTCGGTGCCACACACGCCCTGGCAGCGGTGGCCGGCCTCTCTAACACCCCGTCAGCCAGTGCTGCTGCGTACAGTGTGCAGGCCGTGGGGGCCCCCGGTCTCCGGCACTTCCTCTATAAGCCGCTTGACATCCCTGACCACCACCGCCAGCTGCCCCAGTTCACCAGGTGGGTCCTGACCCTAGTTACGGCTGTGACTGTGCCACATGTCATAGCTGGGACGGGAGGGAGGCGGCCAGCCATGCTTTAACAGGTGGACCTGGTATTTAGGGAATCCTCTGGCCTGATGAGGGAAGCTCAGTTTCTACCCTCAGAGAAGCCTCCTTTCTGATGGAGGAGGCTCTGCTTCCCTGACTTGAAGAGCCATCTCTAGATTGAGGGGTGAATAACCTGGCTAAGTGGACGCAGACTTACCTTGCCGCCTCCCTCCCTGACAGCCCCGAGCTGGAGGCCCCGTACAGCAAGGAGGAGGAGCGGCACCGCCTGTCGGACCTGTACCACTGCCTGCACGCGCGCCTCCACAGCACCTCCCGGCCCCTGCGCCTCATTTACCACGTGGCTGAGAAGGAGACGCTGCTGGCCTGGGTGAGCTCACCCCGCTGCCTGCCTCCCTCACAGCACCCCCGGGAGCCTGTGCCTCGCCATCCATGCCCGATTACAGGCACCACTGGTGTTTGAAACCAAGGGAGGCGATCAGAGTGTCTGTGAACCCTCCATTAGGCACATCCTTCTGCTTGCTGGTCTGCCATCAGCAGCCAGTACAGCGTGTCTGATGACCCGGAGGTCCAGGCTTCATTGTGGCTATTATATACTCACTAGCCACTGGTTCACTTTGATTCCTTGAGTCCCCAGTACGCCTTGAAGACCACGGGTTTGGTGCCATTGCTGTGCCCTCCCCTCTTCCCAGGGTGCTCCTGCCCTGGGGCCACCTCAGGGCTCCCACTCTCTTCCTTTAGGTCTGGTTAAGGTAACACCATCAAAAACGGTACCTTCCCCCAGGCTCTGCCGTTCCATCTGACTCTGGGTATTCAGTCATTTATTCCATGTCTCCTGTGCAGCAGCCATCGTTCTAGGCCAAAGAGTCATATTTCTTCCTGTCATTTTAGATTTACAACTGAGTTTCAAAAATAGTAAAAGAATTCCTGTATATGCTTCACCTCGTTTCCCTGACATTAACTTAACAAAATTACCCAGTAGCTTCTAAAACTCAGATTAGTCCACAGACTTCCTTCTGCTTTCTCCCTTTGTCCCAGTGATGTCCTGTCCTAGCCCAGGATCTAATCCAGAAACAATCCCAGGTCGTAGTTTGGAACAGTCCTTCTCTCATATCTGTCTTTTGCAAACCTGTCAAAGAATACACTGCCAGCTCCTTTGTTGAACACTTTTCAACTTGATTTTTTCTAATGTCTTGTCATGATTAGGTTGAGACTGTGAATATTGGGCAGGAATACTGCACAAGGGACTCTGCCTCTCTGTGTGTTCTGTCCAGAGGGGACACATGCTAACAGTCTGTCCCATCCGTGATGACCAGCGTTAGCCACTTGACTGAGGTTGTGTTTACCCTCTTTCTCTAAAATTGGCACTTCCCCATTTGTAATTAGTAAGCTTCCTGTTATGAGTATATAAATGCCCTGGTTTTCACTTTCAGCTGCTAATTGTGACATTCTTTCACAATTTCTTCCAGTTACCACTCTTGCCTGTCAAATTCTGATTTTCCTAACTGTTGTCCCTTCTACACACACTGGCTAGGCTTCTGCCATAAAAAATAACACCCCATCCTCCCCCCTTTATTTACAGTTTCTTATTAACAGAACGGACTCGGGATTTTTCTTCTGTTTGGTAGGCTCTGTACCTTTAGGTTAGGCTGTGACTAACTCTGAATGTTCACATTGTCACTCAGCCGTGTTAGTTCTTATGTCTCCAGCACATCCTCACCATTCTTTGAGCACTTCTTGCTTTTGACCCCAGGATGTTTCAGACTCATTCTGTGTCTTTTCTATGCTAGTCCTGCATTTAGACACTTTGCCAAGGCCCCTCTGGACCTTTTACTAGAGAACTTCTTAAAACTAAGATATATGGTGGGCCCAGCGTTTTTGATCAGGAGAGATCTCACTGTGGGATGGGCAGGACCATCCTAACGTTCTGGCCCATCTAATGTGGTCTCCTTTCAACCCCCAGGTGACCTCCAAGTTCGAGCTCTATACATGTCTCAGCCCTTTGGTGACCAAGGCAGGTGCCATCTTGGTGGTGACCAAACTCCTGCGCTGGGTGAAGAAAGAGGAGGACCGGCTCTTCATCCGCTACCCGCCCAAGTACTCCACACCCCCTGCCACCTCTGTGGACCAGGCCTCCCATAACGGCTTTCTCACTGGACTATGAGGGGCAGAGCTTTCAGCTGGGACGCTGCTGGGAGCGGCCCCCTTTGGCTTCTCTCCCATGTTCACCCTGGAGGTGCACTGAGAAGGTTTTCTGGCTGATCTCTCTCCCTCAGGGAGAAGGCACACCAGCTCCGAGTGCCTTCCCACAAATGGAAGGGCGGTGGCAGCCTGGCTGCACACTAACGCATGGACTGCACTCCCACCTGTGGGGAAACCGTCACCTCCCCTTCACCTTCCTCAGCCTCACCTTCTTCACCAGGATCATGCCCCTGGGGCTGTCCCCTCCAAAGCTCAGGGTTGGACCACGCGTGAATCTGTGGAATTGGGAATGCCCGGCCAGCCTGTGCCTGGACCTAGCTTGAAGGTCACTCAAAGGAAAAGCTAGCTACATCGAGGGCCTAAAAACTAAGCCCTGCAAGGACTTTGCTTTGTCTTTCGTGCACCTGTCTTCATCTCTTTTATGCCAAAAAATGACCCCATCAATGTTGGCAGTTGCTAATGTCAATGAAAAGATGGAGAACAGCACACTTGATGAGGATCCTATATGTCAGCATTGCGTTGGGCCCCCAGGCCTCACGTTACTGATCTTTGAACCCAGGACAAGCACCTCATGGGTTGACAGATTAGCGAGCAGAAACAGAGAGACTTGAACTGTCGTGCACAGTGCACACGTGTTTGCACACGGTGCGCTCGAAGCCTCTCCGCACGCATCTGGGTGTGGCTCTACGCATGTGCACCAGCTGCCAATCAGCCTGTGCTGCTCGGACCTGAAACAGCACCAGCCTCGCGCCGTGCCCACCCAGTACGCATGCGCAAGGTGGAGTCCTTGTGTCACTGCTTCGGGGACCAATCACCGGCTGAGGCGCATGCGCATAGGCCGCACACGGAGCCATTGAAAATGGAGCCCGTGGGCGCCGTGGACGAGGCCGAAGGTACTAAACGGTCCGTTCTCCTGGTCGCTGGGGCCAGAGAAAGACGGGCCCCTCCGAATGTGGAGCGATAGCACTTATTCTGAAAAAGAAACATTGAGAATTAGGAAAAGAGGGGACACCGCGAAGTGGAGGGGACTAACGCACAGCCCAGCGTAACTCGGGTCGTTTCCCCTCGATCTGTTTAGACTAAATCTGGATGCAGCCCACGGGGGGATTAAAAAGCTTTCTGACGACTCGCCAGCTCCCACTTCTTCACGGCCCCGGAGAGAACAGGAGACCCCCGAGCAGTGACGGAGGGGGCCCCCCACGCGTCCCCCAGTTCCCCCCGGGATCCCAGTGCCCGCGACGAGGGTCTGAGCAGGGCCACGTCCATCACAGGCCTCCCGAAGCCCCCGGGGGTGGGTCTGTCCAGGGGAGGAGCCCCAGGGCACAGACACCTCGCTGTCCCCGCTCCTGAGACACCCACGATGGGCCCATCACGAGAGAAGTGATGCTCCGAGAGCTGGGGTCAGAATCACCGGGTACACCCCACCACCCCGGTGATCTAGCGCTTAGAGAGCCGCGCTGCCCACCCAAAGGCTGACAGTTCGAATCCACCAGCTGCTCAGAGGGAGAAAGACCAACAGTCACCTTCCGTGTGAGCCTCTGAAAACCCCTAGGTCAGCTGTGAGTTGACAGCTGTCATTACGGGACAAGTAAAAGAAAAAAAGCTTCTAATAAGGCTTTCAAAATCGAGGATATAGATAACTACCAGCAGTGCAGAAAAGGGAAAGGAATATCAGGCTGCCACTTTTAGCACATCAGGTGAACCTGAAAAAAGGCAAGGGTAATAGTGGCTAGTATTGATGGCCCCTGGGGAAGCAAACCTTTGCCACACTGGGCAAGAACTGACTTGACCAGGAAAAGCCTTCCTGGAGACAGTTGGGCAGGATGGTTTTCTTACGCAGAACATCCTGTTTCCTGTCCCCAGTCACCATGCCAGGTAAACACAGGGACCTGGTCCAGGGGAGTCATTGGAGGGTTGGGTATCTCTCGGATCAAAAGAGGACCATGCTTGTTTCTTCTAAATGCTAACATAAATACTTTAAAAGGAGGAGGTCATTATCATTGATAGAGGGATCTCTAAAAGAGATCGTATTTTTATGAGAGAAAAACAAACTTAGGTTTTAACAAAACTTTATTACGGCTTAAATGGCTACCTGCTGATGCTGGTCACGGGGTTTGGATTTGAGGATTGACATAGAGGTAGGGACATTTTTTAAAAATATTACTTGAGTTTTAGGAAAATGTAAGTATGATAGAACTTGACTATAGACAGGAAGAAGGAAGCTTTTGAAAAGCAACTGAAGATAGGTATTAATATTGGCCCAATGCAAGCACCTGGCTTTCATGCTTATCTTAATGTCTGGTAGAGTGGCTCAGGATATAGGGCATACACTATTATTTCTCCATATAGGATCATGTTTTGTAATTTATCATTCAGAAATGCTCACAAATTGGGAGTCAGTTTCTAGGGCAAATGGTACCATGACCTTTTGCCACAACTTCCCTGTAGATCTGCAGTTATTTCCAAGTAAAATATTGGAAAGAGATCTCATACTGTACAGGCTGCTTTGTAAAATGAATTTTTTTTTAAGTCTGGAGGTTAGCGAGATTATGGAAAAGACTTACCAGTCCTTCATTAAGCACAGATGGAGCTTTCAAAGTGGTGTTTGCAAAAGCTAAGACATCCAGGATCAGGGAAACTTACAGACTCTTTGTACTGGGTGATACCGAGGGATTATAGGATTGGGGTCACCTCAGAAAGTGTTCTTAAGCCCTTGAGACTCAGTGAAGTCTCTGGATGAAGCACCCCTAAGACTAGGACTTGCCTGGAACTCTTTAAACACAGGATAAGCTTAGCTGGAGCAGATATGGGTGGATGTTACTAATTGGCAGCTCTGCGTGATGACTAAGGTTCTGCCGGAGTCTCCTGTGCTGTTTTGTATGTTTTAAATTTTATAATAAAATTATTTTAAAATTACTAACACCTTTTCTTGTTATTAAAGTAGCTTTACTATTATTTGTTTGGTTTCACTGTGTGCTGCTGTAGATATGTCTACTAGGATGCAGTGTTATTTGACAGGTGCCCCTCTCCCATTTCTTCTAAATTAGTATTTAAATACAGAAGCCTCTTACGATTCAGATTCTGTTTCGAATCCTTCATAAACAGTATTGTGCCTGTTCCTCCATCAGAAAGCTCCTAATAGCTAGTTGTCTTTTAATGAATGTTAATACCTGTTACCTAGATCCATGACTTCATTAAGAGTTTGTAAAACACTGTGGTCTGTCTGCCCTTTAACTTTTGCTCTGACCTGCCAATGGGCTTGAATGGCAGGAATAGCTAGAGTAAATCCTTGCCATCAGGGACCCTGATTGGTCCAGCACACATCGTTCTCAGGACAAGGAACAAGTACTGTCTGCCCTGTCATGCCCTGGCTGGACATGCCCCTCAGCCAATCCTCAACTTCCACCCAAGGGTGTCTGCAGGCCCTGCTGGGGCTTTCTTACCTCTCTACATAGAGAGGCCTCTTCCTGGGGCCTCTAATTCTGGTTTTCATCTCCACAGGACAGGCCACACCTTCAGAGAAGACTGAGGACTTGCTGGCAATGGTGAAAAAGCTGCAGGAAGGTCCTGTGTCTCCTGTTACTGGGATCTGTCATCAGGCAGACATGGTTCAAATAGAGTCCCTATAACCCTCGGTCTTCTTGAGAATTTCAATATGTAAATTACAAGTTATAAAACACATCAGTGGGTCTAAGTGAGCTCTGGTGGCCCAGTGGTAAGGAATTGTGATACCAGCCCAAAGGCACACAATTAATTCCATCCACTGCTCCACAGGAGAAAGACGGGCAATCTCCTCTTACGCGATTTACAGCCTCTGAAAACCCTCGGGAGGGTCTGCAGTGAGTCAGGGTTTTTGGATGTTTTTTGAGTGAGTATTTATGGAAGGGACCAGGGAGTCTGCTGTTCACGGAGGACACATCAGGGCTGGGCAGAGTGTGGGATGGTTTGACACTGGGCCCGCAACCCGTCCTCATAAAATACTGCAGTCCATGGGTCTGTTCCAAACAGAAGGCTGCCCTGCCCTGCCCTGTCCTGCCCTGCCCTGAAGTGTAGGTGGAATATATGGAGTAGAGCCACTGCCCAGGATGCAATCAGGTAGACAGGTCACAGGGCTGGAAACAAGAGTGACTCTGAACATCGCCTACTAGCCAGCCACGTGCCCCTCCAGAATCTCTGTAACTGCATCTCAGTGAACTCTCCTCACCTACAAGCCACAGGAGATGGTTGTGGTGGCCCCAGAAAGTTCAGGGTTTAAATTTATTCACTGAAGAGGGAACTTGGGGGTTGACAGCACGAAGGCAAGGCGGGCAGGTGCCCGTTTCCCCATTGAGGCCAATGATGAACAGATTCACTCTAGGGGCCGATGACCCACCCTGCCAGGCTTTTAACCGGCAGGCACAGGAGAGATCTCCATTGCTGTCCAGCATGCTTAGAAGTCAGTGTGGACACCTTAACATGGGGCAGGAAGCCTGCTGCCCCCAATTCTCACACCTGACCAGTCACCTCTGTCCACACCAGCCGCCGTGCTGTCACTTAGAACACCTGCTTCCCATCCTGCCATGTGCCTACTGTCTGCTTGGTCTGGAATACATTACCCCCCAAATGGTAGGGCTGCTCACTTGATTATGGCCATCTCTGCATATTAAGGAGATAATCCCTTTAGCTCTTCCTTCTCTTCCCAGCCAGTTGCCACCACCTGGCTTGCTACCACATGCCTTCATTACCATCCATCTGCCTGTCCCAAGACACAAGGCTCCCTCCACCCACTCGCTCCCACCCACAAGCCCCGCGCAGCAGGTGCACAGTGAAATGCACGTTGCGATGGCTCGCTCTGGACCGGACGTGGCTTGTGGATGCAGATGCTCAGAATTGCCAAGTTGAAGTGAATTTTTCAGCAAAAAGGCCAGGATTATTCCCTGAGAGTACTGGTCAGATAGGGATGAGCCACTCAGAAATTGCTCT